TCAAACAGACCCTTCATCTAAAATTACTCTCAAGGAAAATTCTATAAAAAAAAAAAGCTCTCCCAAACAAAGCCTAAAAACTTTTCTTATTTCTTTAATTAAAATTAATATATAATTTAATAGCAAATCTTTTTATATGTAAAAAAGGTTGACGATTTTGATTCATTTAAATCCATCATAGTTATTAACATACAAAATCTTATAAATGCCAAAAAATAAACAATTTTAATCCCATAATATATAAAAATACCAAATTAATTCACAAACTTCTAACAAGGAATGAATTAATTCGACATTTGAAAATTTATCTAAGCCTTAAATAAAAACTAAAAGATGAAATTAACATTTTTTATAAACCCTAAAACTAATTAACCCCTTATAAAAAATTAAAGGATCATTTTGACACTTCTCAAAATCATATATAACCTTCTATATGTTTTATTCGTATTTTTTAAATTATGAATAAAAAAAATTTAAGCAATTTTTGCAAAAATGCCACGAAAGAGGTTGTTCTATTAAGAGTTTGTTTGGGGCAGCTGCTGCTATTAAAAGAAGCAGCTGTGAAGCCGCTAAAAAAAACTGTTGTTCAAAAAGTCAGACTGCAGTTTTCTAGCCGCCACTGCAGTTAGCCAGATATGATGGAAAAACACAACTTTCCACTGCAGACATCACATAGTTTTGCCAAACAAGAAAAACTAAGGTGCAGCACACACCGCCTTCGCACTGTCGCCCCAAACACAACCTAAATTAGGGATTTAAAGATCCTACCGAGATGTGGGAAAAATGCATGCTATAGGGACGCACAATCCTTCAATATTTTTCATGCTATAAGATTGAAGTGCAAAGGCAATAAAACACCACAAACAGAAACTCTAAATTGCTAGTCAAGGGAAAATAAATTTATTATAAAAAGCTAATTTTCCTACAAGAAAATAAAGTTACAGAACCAAAATTGAATGATTATAATTTATAATAGTCAAAAATAGATGCTGACTATAATAAAATATTAAAATCTGTAAGTACAGACTCCCAGCCTTCACAAAAATGGGAGAAGGAATTAAAAGTATGGTGACAGCTAAAAATAGATGCTGATCTCCTTCTCACTCATCTCATAGACATGATCTCGAGCCTCAGTTAAAGCCACCTGAATTTTTATAAGATAATCAAATAAATGAAAAAATAAAGGGTGCAGATCCTCTACAGTTTGAGTTAACTATAGTTGAGAGGTTTATTAAACCATGAATAACCACTCAATAAAATGTGATGCATTTTCAACAGTTAAAGATTGATTCCATCAACTCGTATGGTAAACTATAGTTTACGGGTTAACTATACCATGCAGTTAACCCCATAACAACATGCGTTGCATTTTCAATGGTTAAGATTCATTACATCAACCACTATGATGTTACTGGAATTAATCTCAGCCGTTAAAAATGAAATGCACGGTTGACTATAATTTACCTCAGTGTGTGATGCATTCTCAACAGCTGATATTGAATCCATCAACTCTTAAAGATTACCAGATTGGCAATATTAGAACTAATCTCAACCGTTGAAAGTGCGGCGCATGGTTGTTGGGGGTTATTGCACGAACCAATTCCCCTCAACTGTAATGAACACATCCAACAAACATACGAAAAAGGAAGATGGGAAATATAAGCCCAACAGAGCAAACCTGTCCATATTTGGTCAAAAAATTGCTCGCGAGGTTTAGTGAAGTAACGGCAAGATCCTCATTTGCCTTTAGTGCTTGGGCTAATGCAAATGCTCCGGTATCCTATTTTTGAATTTAGGGTTCAAAAAAGAATATGTTGATCATGAAAAATCATTCAGATATTAGTTTTGGAAAATATGAAATTAATTCTTCGTACTCGGATCTCATTGAAACCCAGATCGAGTGATGTCAACGCCTCGTTAACAATTTTCAAGCTACGTGCTAAGCAGACTGCACCCTGCGGAAATAAAATGGAAGGAGAGTCTACTAATATCAATATTATAATATCTTACAAATATTCATGATAGGAATCTATAGTATTCATTATCATAACATATCCTCAACATTCATGTTTTCTTATTGCACTATTTTCTTGTCCTCATATAAACATGTTTGTACTAGCATCAGGATTAATGAAGTAATATGTAATTTGTATATTTTCTAACAAAATGAACGAGGAACATTTTCCAATATATATGATTCATCATATCTTTTTTTATTGCACCATTATTTAGTTTTTATATAAACATGTTTGCAGTAGCATCAGGATTTATGAGGTAAATATGTAATTTTTACATTTTCTAACAATATCAACAGGGAATATTTTCCAATATATATGAGAAAGATGAAGGTAGATTTACATTTAAAAATTCTTACATCATCTCCGAGCCCATTCGCCCGCAAATCGAGAGTGGACAATGTGGTGTTGTACTTCAAAGCATCTGCAACGTACTCCGCTCCTTTGGGTCCTATCTAAAGAACAATACAACAGTGAGAAACTGAGATATAGTATAAAACAATCTATTTGCAGTTAAAGAATACCTGGCACCAACCAAGTTTTAGGGTTTCTAGTTTTCCATGAAACTTGATGACTTCACAGAGAGCTTTGACCCCCTCAGGCCCAATTGGGTTGTAACCTAGTTCCAACTGAAAAAGGGAATAGGAATTGGTTTATGGATCAAACAAAAAAAATTCTCACTGGAGGGAAAACGCTCAGTACAACTTTAGATGTTTTGAGCGTTTTTAAATGCAAGCTAATTTATTTTTGACAATAAAAAATAATAACATGCAAAAAATACTATATATATATATATATATATATAAATATAATAAAAGTAGTCCCGAATAAGTCCTAAATGACTCACTGTAGTGATGATTGAGTTGTCTTTTAAGACTTGAGCTATCTCGCTAACTCCTCGCATGTGAATGTTGTTACCTCCCTGAAAAGTTTGGAAATCAAGGAAAAACAAGAAAGTTTCATGATTTAAAATCGTGAATAGAAGATAGATAGACAACATTTCTATGGTAAATAGATCTAGTTCAAATGCTCCACAATTCTCGAGATAAACAAAATATTTAGAAGCTCCCTATATGGAATTCAATCTGTAAATAACCTTGAGCCCCTCTTACCTATAACTAGCCTCGAGTCTATATTTGTAATTTGCCTTCAATTAATAAAATTGTTAGAATAAAATTCTAACAATGAAAAAAAGGAAGATTTACATCAATATCACTCAATTCTTATCTATTTACATATCTAACCCCTAAACTTCAATTTTGCATACATTCCACCTTCCGTATACATGAAAAGGATTGTCTCAATTTTTAAAAGCTAAAATGGTGGTATTTTTGGTGTGATAAGAAAGATTTGGGTGATATAAATATAAAAAGCAAAATTTAAGTGTTAGATATGTAATTACATAGAATTGGGTAGTATGTTTGTAGATGCACCTGAACACCTAAAAAAAAAATCCCATTTTTTGCTTCTCCTCACAAAGCAATTCCATTAAAACTAAACAAAAATTTATAACATAGAATAAACACCATCCAACAACTTGGAACAGTCTAAAACCCACCCACACAAGAAACTGCCAAAAATTCTATTTAAATGACAGCTAAATTAGTTTATTCACTATAGACTGCTTTCAAACAAACCAACCTCGTTAGCAAAGTAATTAACATAAAGTAAACAACAGCTATCTTTTTATGATGTCAGAAAGTAACATGAAACAAAAAAATAATTCATTTCAAATTGAGTTTGAAAAAAAAAAGACAGCCTAAAATGAAACAAAATGTTAAGGAAAAGTAACATGAAACAAAAAAATAATTCATTTCAAATGGAGTTTGAAAAAAAAAAGACAGCCTAAAATGAAAAAAAATATTAAGGAAATAGCACAATTCTTATGTATTTACATATCTCACACCTAAGCTTTCATATTCACACACATAGCATTCAAATCTTTAACATCACATAAAAAAATTTCTCTTACCATTTTTTTGAGTGCTGGGTGTGAATATCACGGTTTAGGTGTGAGATATCTCAATACATAAGAATTGTCTGCTATGTATGCAAATGCCTCAAAAGTAATAATCACTAACTTGTATCTAAACTTACAGTTAATAACATGATTCTTTGTTACCAAGAAATTAAAAAAAAAAGAGCCCATGTATAGAAGCACAAGATTAAAGAGAAGGGAAGCACTCAATCGCACCAAATCAATCGTACTTATCGTCCGATTTTGCTTCAAGGCATCAGCAATCAATTCAGCCCCCTGTTTATGATTGCAATTTATTTAGAAATATAGCATAATAGAAGTGATTATATCATCTACAGTGCGCAAATGAAAAAAATAATAAAATTATTTTATGTACCTCATCACCAATATCATTCATATAAAGATTCAGCCATAGCAAGGATTTTGTTTTTTTGATATAGTTAGCAACATGGAAAGCTCCCTTAGGACCAATATCATTATTCCCCAGGTCCAAAAGAGTTATTTTTCCTGAAAAAATATAAGCAAATCGGGAAAAAAAACATGGATTTTCAGGGAAAAAAATGATGGAACCAAAAATAGTAAAATCACTAAGAAATGAATCTCAAACCCTTGTGTGCAGATAAGCCTGACACTAATGCTCTTATGCCCTCATTACCCATGTTATTGCCATGTAAATGAAGTTCCTACAATAATAAATTTTACAACAGGCTTTAAATTAGTTTTTGGACTAGGAATTAATTAATGGGTTAAGAAAAAAATAGTTGATAAACAGCCAAAATTAATGGAAACTTTACATGCATACCACACAAACCTCATGTATTTACATATTTAACACCTAAAGTTTGATATTTACATATATAATACTTTATTGTCTATCAAGATTGACAATCGTTTTATGAAAATTCTGAAGTTGACTGTCGGTTTTAATCCAAAAGCGGAGTCCCCTATCATCCCTAATTGGATAAAGTTTCCGGGGATAAAATTACATCTGTTCAACATGGAAATTCTCTACTCTTTAGCAACTGCTTACGATAAGCTTCTCAAGGTGGATAGTCCTACGCTTGTTGTCACTAGACCCTCTGTGGCTTGTGTGTTAGTTGAGAGAGATATCACTCAACCAGCTCCGGATGAGATATGGATTGGCACTATGCACAACGGGTATTGGCAAAATGGAACCACATCCTCCTTATTGCTCTCATTGTAGTATGTTTGGCCACAGCTCTACTATTTGTTATCGTTTGCATCCTCATCTAAGGTCGAATATCACTAAAGAACAGTTACCTACTATCCCTATTGAGAAGAAGCAACCCGATCTTCTTCCCAACACCGCAGTTCCTGAAGAAGAATAACATACTACAGCTACAAATCCAGTTGTGCTCATACTACTCATTGTTATTGAAGACTCACTCACATGCCAAGACACACGAGAGTGCTCCTTTGATCCAATAACAGATCAGCAGGTACAACATGTAGTTGCTTCTAATGTCCAACAATCTGCACAACCCCAGCACACTTTAGACCAAGATCAAGTGAGCCAATCTTCGGAAGAGGAATGACGGTCTATTCCAGGAGGAAGAAGAAGAATGGAGGCCGACTCCAGCTCGGGAACATATTGGATGATACATTGGTTACTACTGGCAATGGCAATCATCTTACCAACTTATTAGCTTGCTCCTTCCCTAGAACCAGAGGCAGAGGCAAAACCAAATTGGGTTACACTCTAGCCACCTGATACTATGTATTTCTGCATTTTTAGGCTTTTTCTTTATGTCTCTAATGTACTTTTCAGTATTTTCTAATTGTAGAACCCCTTGTGGTTTTGTTGTGAGCAGAGTGTCATGTTTGGGCCCTCCATCACATTGTATATGTATCTTTCTTTCTAGTTAATATATTAGCCTATATATATATATATAATATGATTATTAATATTAATATTAATCAAATTGGTAGTTAAAAGATGAGCATCTCTACGGCTTTCATCTATAAGAGTCGCATGTCCCATTCGAACCAATCAAAATAGAGAACGAGTAAGAGCAGAAACTGGAGAAGGAAGAAGAAAAAAGAACATGTGTGAGTGTGTTTATTTATGCACTGTTAATAGAAAGTCTAATTAAATTAGGACTCAAAATATAGAAATTTCGACTTGGAAGAAGAAGTTGCTGAAGTGTGTGAGCTAAGGAGATCGATCCGATCAAACTTTGGTAAGGTAAGAGTTTGGGTGTTTATTTATATAAAATATTTGTTAATTAAATAAATGTTATTAAGTATGATTTACTGGATTTAAATGTTGGTTATAGAAAATTTGATTCAATGAAGAAGTGATAGTAAAAGGAAGTAATCAGAGGATTAAGCTTGTAAATATGTCATTTAAGACAAAATTGAGTAATTACTCTCTTATAAATATTAAATTGATATTTTATTAAATACAAATTTGCATTATTGCATTAGATACCTGCTTCTATAGTTATATGAATGTTACAAGTTACAAGAATCATTGAAATGGATGAAATGAAATGATAAAAAGAAAATTGATTATTCAATGACTTTAAAAGAAAATAGTTAAAGGAAATAAAATATAAAGGTTTAATTTATTCAATATTATCCTAAGATGGTGTTAGCAGAGGATGCAATGTACCGGTGTACAAAAAATAAAATGAAAATGATAAATATATACATTCGGGTGCAAAATTTTGATATGACAATGATAAATATATACATTCGGGTGCAAAATTTTGAGGGTACTTTCACGTACAATTTTGAAGATACATTTTGGTATGACGATAATCCTGATATGACTTCTCAAAGAGGTTAAAAATGATAAATACTTAAATTAAAATAAGAAGACTTAATTTTAAAATAAAACCTTACAGTATTATTAAGTAATGAATTGCATTTCTTTTGTTCATTCATGCATAGTAATTGCATATTTAATACATAATAAAATTGAAATTACTCACTAAATCATGTAAACTTACTGTTTAAATTAATTGTTTCTTTCACGTAAAATACTAAGTTGATATATTTGGCAAGAGAGATTTAGTTTACAGAAGGACTACTGCTGATTGGTATTATATTGTGTGTTGTGACTGTAGTTATTGTATTGTTTAATTCTGAGTAGAGATATTGTTATATATTGGTTTGAGATGCTTTACTTGCAAATTATCGTGTTAATTTTGCATGATATGATTTATGTATCATATAATTTGTAGTTTCTTAGCGGCTTTTTATACATTGGAAAAAATAAAAATAAGTGAAAATTAAATGAAATATTAATTGTGACATAGTTAATACTACACTATCAGTAGTATCAGAAAGATTAGGTTTGAATACTGATAAAAAAGAGTCATTGGGTTGATTGAATTACCTGATAGATAATATAAATGAAGGGTTAAATTATTTCTATTTATAATTTTTCTTATATTATTTCAGAAATATGAAAAATCTGGGTTGGGAGAGGGGGGGGTTCGAGATGATGTGGTAGAAATTGTCACACCTCCATAGATTACTGTAAACGCGGATACTTTAATTGAGATGATGATTGCAGTAACTCATATGATTAAGAACTCTCGGACTAGGCCAAGTTTGCTAGGGTAAGCTAGATGTACAAGTATTTGAAGCTATTTCAGGATATGAGGTTAGGATATGAGGTCATATCTCTTTTCTAGAGAATGAATTATGGTGGATGTTGAGAACTGGTTGTTGAAAGTGGATAAAATTTTAGATGGGTTGTCCTGTCCTCCAAAGAGGGTTACACTGGCCACTTTTGTCTTGGAAGGAGAAGCGTTGAGATGGTGAGGATAGTTGCAAAAGAAATTTGGGGGTAGAGCTAGCCACTTGATGTGGTGGGATGAAATTGTGGAACCTTTTAGAGACGGGTTTATATCATTGTCCTCCAAAGAGGGTTACACTGGCCACTTTTGTCTTAGAAGGAGAAGCGCTGAGATGGTGAGGACAGTTGCAAAAGAAATTTGGGGGTAGATAGAGACGGGTTTATATCATTCTCAGCTAGGAGAGAAATTTAGGATCAATTTATCAGTTGTTGCAGGGTGATTGCTTGATAATGCAGTACAAGACAGAGTTCACTATGCTTTCAAGATATGCATCCTAATTGATTCCAAATGTATAGGAGAAATATCAATAGTCTTTTGTCGCGGCTGAAGGATTTGATCAGACAGCTATTGATTTCTCTTAGAATTGATGATCACTCTATATTGATAGAGACAACAGGAAGAATTAAGCTGGATTTATAGGCTACCAGTAAGAGAAATTCTGAGAGATTCGATTTTCCTCAGGGCTCTCAAGGCAGACAGTTCTTCCAGCAGAAAATACAAATGCTACGAAGGCCAGATCCAACAGTGTTGGCAGCCAAACTAAAGATAAGAAATGTGATAAGTGTGGAAGGTCTCACAAGGGTGAGTATCTTTCTTAATCCAACACCTATTTTTAGTGTCACCGAAAAGGACATATGGCGAAGAATTGCCCTAAATTGGGACAGAGAGCTCTAACAGATTCTAGGGGCAGTGTTGCACAACCTCAGGAGAGCTTTGGCAGGGCGGGGATAGTTGAGACTTCAAAATCAAATGCCAAATTCGGGTCAAACCCAATGAATGTTCGACTCAGGGTTTATGCACTTTATAATAAAAAGCTAAGGACTCTGCTGAAATTATCACATGTATGCTTTACATTTAAGAAATTTTTATCAAGTGTGCTTTTAATTATAATAGGATTCATGTCATGTCACTCATAACATCTTATAAGAATTTAAATGCATAAATAAGTCAACCCTAAATATTTGACGCAATGATTTTAATGATAGATGTCGTATATCTTCATAATAGAACAATAAGAGCATTGTTTGATTCAGAAGCATCAAAATCTTTTATAACTGAAGAATTGTTAAAGTAATGCAATTGAATAACACATTAATGCCTATGATATTATGAGTTAGAATGTTAAACAACACTTCTATGGAAGTTAATCAATTATGTAAGATGAATCTAATGATTGGTGGAAAAAAATTTTGATCCAAAACTAATTGTGTTTCTCTCAGTGAAGTTTGAACAAATTTTAGGCAAGAGTTGGTTGTCTAAAAAATTTGTCACAATTGATTGCAATACAAAGACTGCCAAAATAAATTTAACTTGGGAGGCAAGAGTTAAATTTTGTGATGATAAAGGGTTGATATCCATGATAACTGCTTGTTTGAAAGCTTTCAAATCGTTGAATCATTGAAACCAGAGTATTCTTGCTCATGTGAAAGATACCTCTAAGGAAGTAAAATCTTTGGGTCATATTCCAATGTTAAAGAAATATGCAAAATTTTTCTTGATGATCTACCAAGGTTACCTCATATGAGAGAGATCGATTTCACTATTGAGCTACTAACAGATTCTAACCTATAAAATGGTCATTAAGGAGTTACAAGAACTGAAAAATCAATTGCACAAATTGCTAGATAAGGGATTTATCAAACCTAGCGCCTCACATTAGGAAGCTCTAGTGTTATTTGTGAAGAAGAAAAATAAGAGCTTCAAAATGTGCATTGATTATAGGGTAATAAGCTCATTCTGAAGAGCAATTATTCACAACCGAGAATTGATGACTTAATTGATCGGGTGGAAGGGGGTTATGTAGTTTCAAAGATTGGTCTAAGGTCAAACTTTCACCAATTGAGGATTAAATATGAAGATATAACGAAGACAGCCTTTAGAACAAGATATAAGCACTATGAATCTATGGTGATATCATTTGGACCGACTAATGCTCAAGTATTTTTTATGGATCTAATGAATATGACTTTCAAGTAATTTTTTGATACAACTGTGATTAAATTTATAGATGATATCTTAATGTATTCGAGAGATAAAGCTAGCCATACAGATCATTTGCATGTTATTCTTCAATTTTTTAAAGAGAATACACTGTCATTTTATGAATGTGAATTTTAACTTAAAAGTGCAACTTTTATTGAGCATATTATCAGTGGAGATAACATATTTGTGGATCATATGAAGATCAATGTGATTATAGATTTACCAAGACCTACAACTATTACTAAGGTCAACAGTGTTCTAAGCTTGGTTGGTTATTACAGGAGGTTTGTAGATGAGTTTTCACAAATTTTTGTCATTATTCATATTAACTCAAACACGGTAAAGTTTGATTGGACTGATCGTTGTGAAGAGGCTTTTCAAAAATTGAAGTCTTCCTTAATGACTGCTCTAATATTGACTATTCCTTCGGGATCAAATGGATTTCAGATTTTCAGTGATGCATCGTTGAAAGATTTGGGTTGTGTACTTACGCAACATTGAAGAGTCATTGGTTATGCTTCAAGGCAATTGAAGAATCATGAAATAAATTATCCCAGACATAATTTGGAGCCTCTAGTAGTTCTATTTGCACTTAAGATATAGATGCAATATTTGTATGGAGTCAGAAGTGAGATATTTACAAATCATCAAAGTACAAAGTATATTTACTCACTAAGAAAGAATTGAATCTAAGACTGAGGAGATGGTTAGAGTTTATTAAGTATTAAGAGTTAGGTATTCAGTACCATTAGTAGAAGGCAGATGCGATGGTAGATGCATTGAGTAGGAAGACCTCGGGTAATTTGAACAGTTTATTCACTTATTTAAGGCAATTACTAAATAATTTTGAAAGGTTGAAGCTATCTTTGATAATTATTGCAATGATAGTAAAGTTCAATTAAATCGATTTATCGTACAATCCACTTTGAAAGGTAGAATTACGGATTCATTAGCCAGAGATGACATTATTTATAAAATCATGGAGTAGGATAAGGCAGATAATTTGGAGGAGTATGTGTTAGGCTTGGATGACTTATTGAAATATAAAGAGACGATTTATGCTCCATTTGTTGATAATTTAAGACAGAAAATTATAGAAGCACACTTCTCTGACTGTACTATTCACCCAGGGAGTAATAAAATGTATCAGAAGCTTAAAGAAACAATTTGATGGCTAGAATTGAAGAGCGTTACAAAATTTGTGGCGAAATGTCCTATATGTCAGTTAGTGAAGGCAGAACATCAACGTCCAGGAGGTTAATTATAGCCTTTATCGATTCTAGAGTGAAAATGGGAGGAGATTGCTATGAAATTTATGTTTTGATTTCTTAGGTCGCTACAGATTTGTGATTCTATTTGAGTAATTCATAATAGATTGACTAAGTCTGTTCATTTCTTACCTATTAAATAGACAAATTATATTGATAAGTTAGCCAAATTATATATTGATCAAATTGTAAGATTGCATTGAGTGCTAAAATTTATTTTCTCAGACAAAAATGATAGATTTATTTACAGATTATGTAAGAAGATTCAGAGGCCTTCGGGCATCAATTTGACTTTCAGCGCAGATGGTGAGTCAAAAAGGACTTTCAGAACTTTGAGAATCTAGTAAGGTTGTCTTTTGATTTTTTTTTTTTTGAGGATAGGAATCAAATGTACCCCAGGTAGAGATTATAATAAGTACTAAAATTGTTCCATATTAATCTTTATATGAAAGAAAGTGTGGGAAACCATTATGATGGGCTGAAGCAGGTGAAAGAAAGATCATTGGAGCAAACTGGCTGACGATGTTGTTGAAAAAATTAGACTCATCAGATATAGACTAAAGACAGTGTAGGATAAGCAGAGAAAATATTATAATTCTAAGCACTTTGTCTTTATCAAAGTTAGTCATTTGAAGGATGTGCAAAATTTTGGAAAGACGGAATATTAAGTTCAAGATATGTAGGTCCATATGAGCTTGTGGAAAAGATTGAAAATATGGCTTACAGATTGATTTTACCAACTCATATGCAAGAAGTGCATAATATTTTTCAAGTATATTCACTTAAGAAGTATATTGCTGATGAGTATAATAGAATTGTTGTAGATGAAGCGAAGATACTACATAGAAGAGCTTGAAAAGATTTTAGATTATGATGTGAAGAAACTTTGTAATAGAGAAATTTATGGAAACACAGATCAGAGAAGAATGCAACTTAGGAGAAAGCTATTGATATGCAAGAAAGATATACCCAACTCTTTAGTTAAGGTGTGTTTGTTTTAAATTAAACTTATAAAATTTTGAGGATAAAATTTTATGAGGGGAGATTATAATAGCTGAAATTTAAAAAAATATCTATAATATTAAAAATAAAATTAATAATAATCAAATAGGCAATTAATGGATAAGCATCTCTATAGGATTCGTCTTTAGGATTCGCTTCCCTTATTCGTACCAATCGAAAGAGAGAACAAGTGAGCAAAAAATTGGAGAAGGAAGAAGGTAAAAGAAGAGGAAGGAAAGGATGAATGAGAGGAAACGCTCTTCTCGGAAGGAGAATTAGGAGAGAGGCTCGGTGCTCGAAAGAAAGAAAGGCGTTTCAGTTCCTCTAGATGCAACGTTAAGTGACACTTTGCCTCGAAGTTGAATGAGGCAACGTCGTACCCTAGCCGAAGGAGGGTGTTAGGAGATCGTCTCACACGTACGGTACTAGAGTCAAGCCAAGTTCGTAGGAAGAAAGAAAGAGGCTTGTGTACTTTCGTGCTTGGTTCCATACCTCATCGAAGGAGTCGAAATTCACGGCACTGGGTTGCATGCAGGAAGAAGAGAAGAGGAAGCAAAACCGAGCCTTGCGTGCATGTGATAAGGATTGTCGAACGAAGTATAAGATATTTTAGGGTCTTCTAAGCTTATTTATTGAATATATATATATATATATTTATGTGTGTGTGTGTGTGTTTATTTATATAATGTCAACAAAAGTCTAATTAAATTAGGACTCAAAATATAGAAAATTCAATTTGGAAGGAGAAGAAGTTGGTGAAGTGTGCGAGCTAAGGGAAGAAGGAGATCGATATAAGTAAACTTTGGTTAAGATAAGAGTTTGGGTGTTTATTTATATAAAATATTTTGTTTAATTAAATATATGTTATTAAGTATGATTTAATGAACTTAAATAGTGAATGAGAAAAATTGATTCAATGCATTAGGGCTTTGGATCGTGATTTGGGGAAAAAATAGAATAAAAACAGATGTGATAGTAAAAGGAAGTAATTAGAAGACTAAGTTTGCAAAGAGGCCATTTAAGGCAAAGGTGAGTAACTACTTTCTTATATATGTTAAATTGATATTTTATCAAATAAAGACTTACATTATTACTTCAAATGCATACTTATATAGTTATATACATGTTGCAAAATAAAAGAATCAGTGAAATGAGAAAAATGAAATGATAAAAAAAGAAAATGATTATTCAATTACTTCAAAAGAAAATAATTAAAGTAAATGACGTGCAAAAGCTCAAGCCATTCAGAATTACCCTCAGATGATACCGGTAGGGGATGTGATATACTAATGCACGAAAAAGATAATGGAACACAAACTTTTGAGGGTACATATGAATACAATTTTAAGGATACCTTCAGGTATGACATTAATTTTGATATGACTTATTAAATAGTCTAAAAATGATAAATACTTAAATTGAAACAAGAATGGTTAAATTTAAAATGAAAACTTAAAAGAAGATTAATTAATGAATCACATTTATTTTGGTCATTTACGCATAACATTTGCATAATAATTTAATACATAATAAGATTGAGATTACTCACTTAGTGTTTAAATTAATTGTTGCTTTCAGATAAAACACTAGGTTGATATGTCTAACATGAGGGACTTAGTTTACAAGAGGACTACTGTTGATAGATCGTTATATGTTGTGGTTATACTTAGTATATTGTTTTACTTATGAGTAGAGATATTGTTGTGTTGGTTTGAGAAGTTATTCTTGTAGATTATAGTGTTAATTTTGGACGATATGATTTTTATGTAATATATCTTGTGGTTTCTTAGTCGCTCTTTATAAATTGAAAGTTATGAAAATCTCTAGAGAGTAAATGAAATGTTAATACCGTCTAATTGCAGTTTTTGATTTAGTTAATTCTAAGCTATCAAGTCAAGTTGTGACAGTTTAGAAGTTAGACTTATAAATATATATAAATTGTGTGGTATGTAATAATAAGCCAAACATTAAACATATATATAAAACAAGTCTATAACCAATATAATGTTCGCAGCTAATTACTATCATAAATGAAGTAGAATATAAACTGGGAAAATTAATACCCTTAAGGATTTGTTTCCTTCAATGCCTTTGCCCAAACTTGCTACTCCAAGTGGACCGCCATAATTCCCACTAAATTCAAAAAAAAAAATTAGAAACACTTTTCAAGTACGATTAAAAAATACAATGAAAATAAAAAATAATAAAGCAATAAAGAACGTTGAATATGTCACACTCATTAAAGCAGAAATCATCCATTAAAAAGAAGTGAAAGCATTACTAACTTGAGATGTATCGATCTAATAGAGTTGTTTTCAAGAAGTGCTCCAGCCAGACCAGCAAATCCCTAATAACGTTTATATGAATCAAATTTATTTTGTAAATTATTAATGGGGCATTTACATACAAACCACCCAATTTATATATCAAACACCTAAAGTTTTACTTTTTACATTCATACCATTCAAATCATTCGTATCACATGAAAAAGACCATCATTTTAACTTTTAAAAAGAGAAATACACCTTTACATTGCACAGAGAAGGTGGCATGTATGAAAAAATTGAACTTCAGGCGTTAGATATGTATATACATAGGAACTGAGTGGTATAGATGTAAATCTTCCATTATTAATTTCAAAGAAACTTCCAAATTTCAAATATGAGAAGCAGGAGTAGATACGGAAAACTCAATCATATTGTTGTTAAGCTCTAAAACACGTAATGTTGAATTCTTTTTTAGCAGCTCTGCAATAGCTTTTGCCCCCTGCATGATCATATATAACATAACATATTTAAAATAAATTAACTTCTATAAATAATGACAAAGGTTAAAACAAAGAATTTTAATAAGCCAAGTATTATAACCTCATCCCCAATACCAGTACTGTTAAGCTGAATCTTCTGGATTCCACTATTCCCCATCAGAATATCGGAAAGATACTGCAAACATGGATTTTTCTTCTCGCTAGAATGAAAGTGTTGACAAAGAAGAAAAATAATGCACATAACACATTTTCCAAGCAGTGAGAGAAGTTTCATCAAATTTCACAGTAAAATTTAATAGACATAAAAAAGGCATAACCTATTTTATACAATAATATGACAATTAAATTCTGAAATGAAAAGAAAAAGGACATAACTTCTTGAAAGTATAAAAAGCCAAATTTTAAATTCTATGCATACATGGGACCTTGCCTATCACGCCATAAAAAAGGATCTCATTTACTTGAGGCAATTTAAACACAGTCAAAAATATAGTTTCTAAATTGAATGAAGTGAGTCAAAAAATAAATTTGTTGATGCATTATATGGCATGGATTAAAAAAAAATAAAGTTTCTAATGTTGGAAATTGGTTATATGTAATTTAAAATCCTCATAATTAGGATATTATTCTCTTCTATTTTGTCCTTATTATATACTTTTGCATGCCCATTTATAGGCCTCTCGTATATAGTCAATAACATGGTGTAATAATTTCCCATTAACATGTTCCCAGAGTAGAAAGCCACCCTCCCATTTACATGCCTCATCCTATCTTGGCTCACTTGGCCCTACCTCCACTTGTTTGTAAGTCGCTTCCTCTGCTCATGTGCGACTTTTCCCTGCAAGCACACTCGCTAGCATGTGGCCTTCCTTAGTTCACTCGTTCAACCCTCTAATATTTTGCTTGCCTGTCAATGGCTTCACTACACATCCCACCAGCAATGATTTCCATAGATTCGCTTATGTGCTTGTAATTTAAAACATCACTCACCCATCATACATGTCATGATTAATGACAATAAGGAATACTACTATCACCCTCGTCTGTGCTTTTGTGTTACCTGGTATGTTGACTTTACTTTGGTACTCACTAATCTTCCAAACATTTCCTCTACTCTTCGATTTCAATGTTTCACTGATGATGATCTAAGATAATCTCTTCAACTTATTCTCCATCTTAAACAGTATCATGGCGTCTTGTTCTCCATTGCATGATACCAAAACCCCTATCACCATCAAACTCTCTATAAAACTCAATGGTACCTATTAACGTTTGTGGTCAAGGCCTTTAGATTTCATGTTGGTTTCCATAGCATCTATCTTATATCTTGATGCTTATTTGCCTAATGATGAGGCCTCTAAGTGATACCGGAACTAGTTCGGAAATTAGTCGAAACACAAAGCAAGCTTTTACTAATATAGAAATAGGGCTACAACAATGGTAGGAGAAAGGTTAGGAAAGGATAAAAAGAAGATACAACACCACCTCGGAGTAGGATACAATCGGAGCCCCACCTCCTCTTCGAATGTAGCCCTAGAACAAGAAGAACAACCCTACAATGGATTTTGAAATCAACACAGTAAAACTAAACCATCCAGAAAACAACAATTTACAGACTCCCACAAGAAAAAAACAAAAAGGGAAAGCACCCATACGGAAATCACATAAACGGAAGGTGCGAGAAGGGACTGGCCCCTCTATAGGCCACCCGGTGCAGTTGGGGCCTGGACTGGCGCCTATGCCAACCAGCCGGCGACTCCTTCCCGCTCCCCTGAGGAGAAAATGCCACATTCGTGTTAGTTTCTTGGGATTAGGGAAGCTTCAGGCTCTTGTCTTCAATCCTAATGACATTTGGATCCCACTGTTGACTGCATTTGTCTCCCAAAGCATCAGAGAAGTCTTCTCCATTGGCGAGCACAAGTCCCTATCTATCCGCTCACCTGAGATTGTGGGTCACGCCTTGAATCTTCCCAAATCAACTAACGGTCAGTTCATTCTGGTGCAGTGAGAGTAGCCTGAACCATCCTGCTCGATGGGGGAGCTAGTCGTATAGTGTCGACTGTGAGGCTCTGAATAACTCTCTATCATAGTTGTCCCGTGTCTGGAGAGAGTCTCTCAGTCCTCTCATTATGTGGCATTACCAAAACTGGCCCCACAGACGTTGCTTTGTTGGTAAAGGCTCCTCTGATCTCAGGCTCGACCGAAAGAAGTAAGATGATGCACTTCTCATCCTTTGTGAAAGAATGTGTGTTTATAAATTCGTTGTGCTGATTTTTTCGATCAAATTGTCACGGTCTTCTCAACAGAAAGTGGCAGGTATCCATAGTGACC